CCGTTTTTACACTTAATCGCACTTAATGTGCGAGTTTCTGCCTCTTCCTGCCTAGGGGGTCCCACAGCGAGGGAGGTTGTAGGTCACTCCTGCTCTTGGTGCTAATTCCCCTGTTTTTGGCCCTGTAGTGCTGCTCAGTGACTAATTTTAGGTAAATAGGAAACATTTGATGAGAGAAAAAAAATATGGAGCAGGACTGGGGAGAGCAGAGAGTCCAGGGAGGACATTCAAACAACCCATTTGCTTCCCGGTGTTGTTTTTCCATGCTCCTGAGTCCTCCAAACAGCGGTTGGCATGGGATGAGCAATTCGTGGCGGTTGTAAATACACTCTACATTCCTTTTTTTATGAAAAAGCAAGAAGAAAGATGATGTTATGTAAAGCTGTTGGTGAAAAAAATAAAAAATAATTAAAAAAAAAAAAGTGAAAGTCTGTTTTTTGGGAATTTGGGAAGGGCCGGGAATGCCAGGCATTTAAAGGCTGGGCAAAAACAGCCCCAGCTGTAAGATGCCAGGTTGGAAAGGCTCAAACCCTGGGCGAAACAACCCCATGCCTGCTTTTGTGGAGGCAAGTGAAGTGTCACTTGTTTGTGTGTTTTAATAATTTTTTGTTTGTTTGTTTTTCCACATGAGGCATAAGAGGAAAAGTGGCCACTGCACAAGGCTGGACACAAACACCTGGGACTCGCACGGGAGCCGTGTCCTGCCGGGATCCAACCCCTCCGGCGATTCGGGAGGAACGTGACACCGCGCAGGGTGCTGGGGTGCAGACGTGGCCATGGATGGGGGAAACGCGCTCAAATTCTGCTCCCCGATAAGGTTATCAGGGCCCGGCAGTTGCCGGCTTGTAGATCCAAGCTCCCCTGGGTGAGTGGGATGGCGCAAACTTATAGGTGGTGTTGAGAGAAATTCTCTCAAATCCTCTCCCAATTTTCTTGGGAGAAATTCCCAAGGAAAAAAAAAAAAGAAAGAAAGAAAGAAAGAAAAACAGATTTCTGAGAGACCCTCCCTGGGATAGGCACAAAAACAGGCACTTGACCCGCAGCTCGACTGGCCCCAGCCCGTGGTGGTGCCTGCAGCTTGGAGCTGGGCTAGAATCGAGTTGTGCCGATGGTGAACGTCACTTGCTCAAGATGCAGATGTTTGAGGGAATCCCATGTGTTTCAGTGGCATTTCATTTGCAAGAAGGAATAATTCCTGGAGTGGAGCCATCCTAATCCCCCCAACATTTTTTGGCAGGGAGAGGGGGTCACAATAACCATTTTTCCCAGGGAAACAAAAAAAAATCCTCTTCCTCCAAAGCCGCCTTGCACGCACACAACATTAGACCACCAGGTGCAGGGGGCACAGAAATAAGCCTTTTATTTAGTGTCCTTTTTCATTTCCAGCATCTCAACGGAAAAAAAGAAAAAAACACGGACATTATGGCCAAGGCTACATGTTCTCATTTCAGCTTTCAGTTCACAAGTAGAAAGACTTCAAACAATTTAATGGCAAAGTACAGAAAGAGCTGGATTCCAGTCGTTATGGATTCTTAAGCATCCACAGGGATGTGTGTTTTTTTAAATGATTTTATTTCAAGTTTCATGGTAAATACTGCGGTTTCCCCAGCTTGGAACACAGAAATCAAACAGCTCTGCTTAATAGAGTTTACATTTTTCACCACTGGCTTAAAACAGGTGATTTGGGATCACTCAGGACAGCAAAGGCGGCAGGTTGGCTCCCCCCAGAAAACAATCCTGTGAAGAACGTGCATAAAAGAATGATTCAGGGGGGTCTTTTCCCCTTGTTTCAAAATGGCAGCAGGAAGCAGAGCCTGTTGAAACCCCAGGTTGAAACTTCCCCAGACAAAACCGCATCTGGCAACATTCCCAGGTGAACAGGGGAGCATTTGGGGGCTGTTTTGTTGAAAGGGGCTGACAAGAGGGTGGGCAGCCGGGGACATTCTCATTTCAGGATGGCATCGTGTTAATTCTCCTCTCTGTCATCCAGCTCTGCTTGTCACCCAGCCGCAAAGGGACACGGGACATCCCAGCCACCAAGGGCAGAGTCACCCCTGGGATCAGGTGAGTGGGGGGTGAAACGGGAGAAACTTCCCGAAGCCAGTGGAGGTGCCGTGTTCCTCCCTTTGCACAAAGATGTGTCTTTAAATAATAAATAAATAAATAAATAAATAAATAATAAAGCAGAAGAGGAAGGAGCTGAAACAACTGGGGCTGTTCCTGCCCCTTCCGCTTGCATTTGCCCTTAGCTGGGGGAGCTGCTTGCACCATCGTGGACTTCCCACGGGAAGGGAAGAAGATCGGGAACAGGCGGAGCCAGAGGCTGCAGCTTTGTGGAGAGCCCTGCAGAGCCGCCTGGTTAATTTGCCATGTCAAAAACGTGCCTGCAAAACCCAAAACAACCCCCAAACCGACAACGTGCAGCACCAACACCCCCAAACCCTCGCCCGCCTTGCAGAGAGGGCGTGAGGAGGGCTTCAGATGAGATCGAAATCCAAGGGGCTGATGCTGGCGATGGGGGCCCTCCAGAAGTGGAAGCTGTTGAACTGCAGCAGGGTGTCATCCTCCTCCTCGGCCGCCTTCCGCTCACTGGGGCGCTTGCCCAGGGCTGCCTTGGGCTTGTAGAGGGCCCCGTCGGCGAGCCCCAGCCCCTCGAGCTCGGCCGCGTCCAGCCGCGGGATCGGCATCCGCCAGTAGATGAAGGAGTCGTACTGGCTGCTCAGGGTGTCCAGCATCTTCGGGGGAGGCGAGAGGAAAAGACTGCGGAGAGAGAAGCCCCCCCCAAAACGGGCTTTGGGTTTGGGCTTTGCCCCCCAGCACCAAACTCTGCGCTGCCAGCTCCATGCCTCAGTTTCCCTCTTTTCGCACAAAGCAGAGCCCACACAGGGCCCACATCCCCCCACACTGCTCCATGCCCCCGTCAGGAGCGCATGGAGCCTCTGGAAGCACCTGGAAGCTGCATCCCGGTGCCGCAGCGCGTCTCCCGCCCCGATCCGCATGGTATTGAGTAGGAGCCAGAGGCCGCGGGGGCCGGCCGGCCCCCCCGGGGTGGGTCACAGCG